TCGCTAAAAAAATCATGCACTGACGCTACTGTGCAGTGACTAAATTAAATGTGCAGTACCTAAGGTACATTAATGAACTTGTAGACATGCTCACTAGGATTATGTGAAATGGGTCCTATTCAATTTGGATTCGGATTCAGCCCGAATCAGGGACAGCAATTCAATTAGTTGATTCAGATCACTGTCCCCTGTTCGATTTGGCTGAATTCAAATCTGAAGATTTGATGCTGATTTGGAGAATCAGCAATTCGGACATAGACACAGCTTTAAATGTTTTTCCTACATACCTCGAGGTACCAGGCGCGGGGACCACCGAATCGGGCCAAATCTCCTCTGAATCGAATCAGCAACTGAAGCTTCGCACAGCCCTAGTGCTCACTGTTACTATAGTAAGTTCCAGTATCGGAGGAGAGGAATTATTTACTGAAATTTCCTCTCAGAGGAGCTTTAGGTTGTATTTTAGATATCCTGAGCCCATGCTGTGCCTTTTAAGATATGCACCAAGATTTTGAACTTCATTGAATATTTTCATAGATTTCATAGACATCAGGGCTGGAAGGGACCTCGGAAGATCATCAAGTCCAGCCCCCTGCCCAAAGGGCAGGAAGTCAGCTGGGTTCATAGGATCCCAGCAAGATAAGCATCCAGTTTCATCTTGAAGGTGTTCAATGTAGGCGCTTGAACCACCTCCGGTGGCAGGCTGTTCCAGACCTTGGGGGCTTGGACAGTAAAGAAATTCTTCCTTATGTCCAGCCTGAAACGGTCTTGTAGTAGTTTATGTCCATTCGACCTAGTCGTCATCCCTTGGGGCGCTCTGGTGAACAAACGTTCCCCCAGATACTGGTGGTCACCCCTGATAAACTTGTAGGTGGCCATCAGATCACCCCTGAGTCTGCGCTTTTCCAGGCTAAAGAGCCCCAGGGCTCTCAGCCTGTCATCGTAGGGTCTGCTTCCCTGACCTCTGATCATGCGCGTGGCTCTTCTCTGGACTCTCTCAAGCTTCTCCACATCCTTTTTGAATTGTGGAGCCCAAAACTGGACGCAGTACTCCAGCTGCGGCCTCACTAAGGCCGAGTACAAGGGGAGAATGACGTCCTGGGATTTGCTTGAGAAGCATCTATGGATGCAAGCCAGTGTTTTGGTCACTTTACTAGCCGCAGCATCGCACTGCAGGCTCGTGTTCATCTTGTGGTCAATGATGACCCCCAAGTCTCTTTCTTGCATAGTGCTAGCCAACATAGCACTGCCGAGCCTATAAGGATGCTGCGGGTTTTTCTTCCCAAGGTGGAGAACCTTGCATTTATCGGCGTTGAACACCATCAGATTCTCATGCGCCCACTTGCTGAGCCTGTCCAGGTCAGCCTGGATCACCCGCCTGTCTTCTGGTGTGGATGCTTTGCCCCAAAGTTTGGTGTCATCAGCGAACTTGGCCAGTCCGCTTCTGACTCCAGTGTCCACATCATTAATTAATTTTATGGGAAGCCAATGCAAAGAACAGAGCACAAGCACGGCTTATTCACTGAAGACTTTTTGCTTGGGTATGTTGCTTTGCTATCGTCCAGGTGAGAGGCAAGAGAAGTATGAATAAATCTTTTTGTCAAAAATAAATAAAAAATTGATTTATTTTTGTCAAAGTTGTTTCAACCAGTTCTATTGGAAGTCCAAGATCCATTGCTCTGGAGGTCTCTGACAACACTAGCTGAGCAGAGTATTCTGTGTATGGCAGGAAACAGGTACAGCATTCTTTCTGCCTAACCAGTTGGATCCTGACTGCCGAGGTAAGTAATCTTGTATGAACTATTACCTCCCTGGGCCTCCCAACTCATTAATCTGCACCAATCCAACTGGAGAGCAGGACAAAAGCTGGTACACTTAGGATCCCATATTGTCATAGCTGAGATTTGAAAGCATTACTGCGCTATAATGCAGTGCCACGTAACCAAAT